AAAATATTCATAACGCATACACCTGATAAAGGATTTCTATCCCGACTACATAAAGAACTCTCACAACTCCTTAAGACTATCCAACTAAAAATACAAAATAAACATTTAACAAAAATTAATAACAGTTAATAATTAGCACATAAAAAGATACTATTCATCCATCATTAGTCATTAAAATGCAAATTAAAACCACAGGGCGATATTGGAGTGGCTCAAAATTGTTTAAATGGGTAACGCAAGTGCCAGGGAGAATGCAGAATAACTGAACTTTCCTACATGGCTGGTAGAAGTGCCACTTTAGCCAGTGAATACACAGAGAAAGGAAAGAAAGAAAAAGATTGGAAAGGAAGTTAAAACTGCATTTGCAGATAGAATAATTGTATATTGAAAATCCTAAGGAATTTAGAAAATAAAACCTACTAGAAATAATAAGCAAGGTGGCAAGACACGAGGCCCACACACAAAAATCAACTGGGCTTCTATAAAGTTGCAACCAAACAACTGGAAAATGAATTGTTTTTTTAAATACTTTTCACAGTAGTCACAAAACATACTCCACATTGTTAAAATGCCTATTTCTCCTCAAAATGATCTATAATGTAACTCCAATCAAAATCCCAGCAAGCGGGGAGCCTGGCTGGCTCAATCAGGAGAGCATGTGACCCTCGATTACAGGGTCATGAGTTCAAACCCCACACTGGGCATGGAGCCTACTAAAAATAAAAAAATAAAAAATAAAAAAAATCCCAGCAAGCTTTTATCTAGAAACTGATAAGCAGATTTGGCAGGACGCCTAGATGCCACAGCCAGTTAAGCATCCAGATTCTTGATTTTACCTCAGGTCATGATTGAGGGTCATGAGATCAAGCCCTGCATTGGGCTCCATGCTCAGAGCAGAGTCTTCTTGGGATTTTCTCTCTCCCTCTGCCCCTCCCACCCGCTCGCATGCACTCTCTAATAAATAAATAGATCTTTTTTAAAAAGTTAATATATAAATGCAAAGAACGTACAACTGCCAAAGTAATTTTGGAAAAAAAAAAAAAGATTTAAAACTACCTGATCCTAAAGACTTACTATAAAGCCACAAACCAAGACAGTGTGGTATAGCCTAAGGACATACAGATCAGTGAGAAGATGAAGTCAGAAATATAAAGTCAAATGGTATTTTTGTGTGGTAAAATACACATAACAAAAGTTACCATTTTAACCATCTTAACGTGTGTAATTCTGTAGTTTCTTTCTGTCCCTATGGACTTGCCCGTTCCAGACATTTAAATAAACGGAATGCTATTATCTGTGGCCTTCTTGTGTCTGCCTTCTCTCACTTGGCTTATGTTTTCAAGTTCACCTGGGTTGTAGCATTTGTTGGTACTTTGTGCCTCTTCATGGCTGAGTAATATTCCACTGAATGGAGCTATATCAAGTTTTGCTTATCCATTCAGAGTCGACTGAGTTTTGATAAAAATGCCAAGGAAACTAAATTAGGGAAAGGATGGGTCATTCACCACGTGGTGCTGAAACACCTGAGTATCCCAAACCTAAAACCAAAAACAAGCCTCAGTCCCCAGCACACTTAATCCACAAAGAACTCAGCCTCTAGCAAAGACCCAAATATGAAACCTACAATGATAAAACTTCCAAAGGACACAGAGGAGAAAATCTTTGCCACCCTGGGGTAGACGGAGACTCCTGGACAGACACAGAAAGCACAAACCATAAAAGAAAACAACTGACAAGCCGGAGTTCTTCCAGATGAAACTTGTGCTCTCCCAAAGACCCCATCACGAAAAGAAAGCCAAAGCTGAGAGAAAAGAGTCACAATGCACCTACCCAACCAAACAACCTCACCCAGAAGAGAGAGAATTCAGTGAGAAAACGAACAACCTAGTTTTTTTTTTTTTAATGGACAAAAGATTCAAAATAGACTCTTTATGAAAGAAATCTGTGAACGGCCAATAAGCACATGAAAAGATACTGGGAAAACGCAAATTAAAACTTTGATGAGGGGTGCTTGGGTGGCTCAGTCATTAAGCATCTGCCTTCAGCTCAGGTCATGATCCCGGGGTCCTGGGATCGAGCCCCACATCGGGCTCCCTGCTCAGCGGGAAGCCT